TTATTATTATTATAATCATTAGCATTGTAAATAATAATGAGCAAGTCGTGTTTTCTTTCTTTCTATGTTAAAAATACTTTGTGATCTGCAGAAAGGAAACTCATTACAAAAATTTTCGTGCTGATATAGAATTTTGCCTTACAGTTGGCCTATATATTGTAATAGAAGAAGAGTTGATGTAAACGAATATTCTATTTTCACAAGAAGAAAAGCTTACTATGCTACGATTATATCATATCCTGATATTTTAAATTGTGATTATAATGCTAAGTTTTGTATAGGAATAGTATCAGTGATTAGAAGGAAGTGAGATGCAGGTCATGCAAATCAATTTGGTAGAGTCATGGATGAAGTTGTGACATCATCCTCTCCGCTATCATCATCCAAAAAATACACAAGCAAGCACACAGACTTACACAGAGACACACATACATAAACACAAACACACAGTCACAAACACAATGGCTTAGAGTCGCAGACACAAGCGTAAACACAAACAGTTTCACGAACATACAAGCATACACTTACACATCATTCAGGATGAAAATCTAATCTTTTGGCTAAGGTCATTCAGACACACTCTACACCTTCTTTGGGTCCAAACGTATCGGTGATGTCTCTCCTTTGGAGCGTATCAAGAAAGTCATGATCAAAAGAGAGGGAAGTAGTACTTGGGCACTCTACTTCCTCTTTTCTTACCACCCCGACTGGGCTTTTACTGTAAAGATGCAACAACCTTTTAACCCTTGGCAACCTTTGAATCAAAAAGCTCTATCTGACATTTTTGGCCGTTTTGATATACTAAGACCATGAAGCCAGAAACCAAATTTTAATGCTCTGCGTGCTCTGGCGAAATCGTAAGATTATTTGGAGTGTTTATCAATATGTTGAAAGAATTGCATTTGATAAAGCTTGACATGTTGCTCAAGGCCTTTCTGAACTCATCATAGACGATGGGAACACACACACACACACACACAGACACACACACACACACAGACACACACACAGACACACACACAGACACACAGACACACACACACACAAACATACTCGCAAACACAATGCACACACATATACATACACACATGCACATTCACACACATATACATACACACATAAACACACACACACACTCTCTCACACACACACAAACTTACGCGCATACACAAGACACACCGACACAACTACACACGCATACGCAATACACACATACACTCATGTGCATGCACACAAACACACACGCATGCACAAACACACAAAAACATATACCTATGCCTACACGTGGTCACCCAAAGGTGCTATGGTGTCTACTGTCAATTATACACACAAGAGCGAGGTGACTCTATGAACAGCCCTTCTGAATCAAAGGGTAGAAGTAGAATACGATATGATACAGATCTAGAAAACAGAATAGTGCTAACGGTATCACATTCCCCTACATATGTACCACAAATCAATACCTTTATCAAAGAGAATCATTGTCAAATCATCGTCATCATCACTCAAATTAGATCTCTATCTTACTCGGAGTTAAGTCTGAGAGAAGCTGAAAGCTGGCTGGAGATAGAAGCTGAAGGTGAGAGCTTTGAAGATCTTAACTCTTTCATCGCCAATCACTGACACATCAGAGTTTTCTAACCGTGCTCTGGTACGTCACTCGCAAGTGCATCACAGCTTTATTGCGGTGGACTCGTGCATCATTCACTGGTGCACCACAAGTTTATGACTAATTTATGACTCTGCTGTGCCGTTGAATGATACATCTCAGCTTTATAACGTCATGACCGAACGCGGATATGTCAGTCGTTTTCACTGTCTTAGGTCTGTGAACTGGTACGCCAGTCGTTAAGATGTCATGCACTGCTGCTTTACGCCAAACGCGTATAACCAAGCACAGACAAATTCGTGGCACGAAAAGAATTAATGGCCAGAGTTGAGAAAGCAAGGGGTTGCAACGTCATATTCCATTGTGTAATCAGTATTATTAAAGTGCAAAAGCATCACATAACATGTAACATAGTATCAACATCCAGAAATCGTCTATACAAAGCCTGGCGAATTGTTTGTGAAAGGCCTTCAAAGTCTTTCAGCTGACGAAGAAGGCGACACTTGATCCAGACATAAATGTTGGAAAATAAAAATGAATATATAAATAAATAGGGAAATAAATACAGAAGTCAAAAGAAGAAAGCAAACCCGCTCAAAACGAACGAACGAACGAACGAACGAACGAACGAGCTCACATTTTTCACGTTATCATAACTATAATCATAACTACTATTATAAAAGTCAACGCTTAAAAAACCATCAGCTATTAATTGATTAATTGACTACAAGCAAACGGTGCTCATCGTACGTGCTCATCATCATCCTCATCCTCATCACCAAAACCATCCTCATCCTCATCCTCATCCTCATCATCATCATCATCATCATCATCATCATCATCATCACCAAAACCATCCTCATCCTCATCATCATCATCATCATCATCATCATCATCATCATCATCATCATCATCATCATCATCACTACCATCTGCAGCACCGCCACCACCACCATCTTTATCATCATCATCTACAGGGTTCTGTGAGCAGTTTCCGAAAGGCTTTCCTGAACTCCGGGTTGAAGATGGTGTAGATGACGGGGTTGAGGAAGCTGTTGATGTAGCCCAGCCAGACGAAGAGGCTGAAGTAGATGGGGTTCATGTTGCAGGCCGGGAGGTCGTCCAGGTCGTAGCGGATGCAGATGGCGCTGATGATGTTGAGGGTGAAGAAGGGGACCCAGCACACTAGGAACACCCCTGTGGACACATGGAAGAATGATGATGAAAAGGATAATAATACCAACAACAACAATAATATTAACAATGATAATGATAATAATAATAATAATAATAATAATAATAATAATAATAATAATAATAATAATAATAATAATAATAACAGCGTTTATAGATGGGGCATGTCAACACTCTACAATATACTTTACAACTATTATTACAACATTAGAACACTCAGAAACGTCCCCGCTTCCAGGGAAGCATACGGTGAAATTTGCGGATTGTACCCACTCGAAGACGAAGAAAATGACGAGATATTGGTAAATGTTTTCTTTTGTCCGATCGGTAAAGTTTAGATATTTTAGGCAGGTGGCTGATTTTAAAAATAATAAAAATATATATATACAGACCAACCCCATTTAGATTATTTAGGGGGCGGGCTGCTTCATTGTAATGAGTCACCAAAACGACCTAGATCCTTCAGGGGACTGGCTGGTTCTACACTGCCTGTCAGGACCAATCAGAGTTGACTGGGATACAATGTCCCAGAAAAAGACCGATACATTCTTCTTGATCTTTTTCTCTTTTTTTTGTAAGTGTTTTACATCGCTTGCAACTGCATACGGTCACATGATAGCACGGGACACATTAAACATTTTCAGTTGTTAGGAAATTTTGAATTTTTCCCGAGTGATCTGTAATGTGCACAACTTGCACAAGGGGCTTCCGAGATTGTCACATTTGTTCGAGAAGGTTAAGTGTTAGATCTTTCATTCCATAAGATCAGGGGTATCGCTGAAAGACAAGTAAGAAAGAGCCAAGGAGTAGCAGTAGAAAACCCCAGAAAGCGTTAGCAGCCTAGTGGAGGGAGCAAAGGAATTAAGTGAGGGGGTGGGGGAAGAAAGTGGAGACAAAAGCAGACGACAGAACATTGTTTGAGAGAAGGATAGAATATGAAAGTTCAAAATTTTAGAGAAGAGATTTTTCTGTCACTATCCGGATTCGAACACACGACCTATTGAATGAAAGGCGAACACCTTAATCTCTAGGCCACGAGAGCTCCCACGGATATATTTAATGAAAATTTTCTTCAACCGGGAATCGAACGAGGTTTTCTGTGTACGATAGGTAAGCATCTAACTGCTCTACCACAGATCCTGGTCTCTATGGGAGAGAAAGGTAAGGATGGACTGAAAGATCAAATCGGACAGATAAGTTGCAGTTTTAGGGAAAATCAAGTTTGTCTTAGTAAGACTTTTACGGCATTTGCAACACAATTATGCCATATAAGTGCCGAAGATTAGAAGTGTTACCAGAGAGTAACGAACACAAAAAAAGAAGGTGGAGAGACCAGGACGATAAATGTTAGGTAGGAAAGAAGGAGCAAACCACACTAGAGCATCGGCTAACCACCAGCACATGTAAAGTGAGATAAAAAGGGAAGATAGACAGGCAATAAGTAGTTAGTGTTGAGGGAATCAAGATAATAATAAAAATAATAATACATAATAATAAATAGTATTTGTATAACACATGATCCTGCTTTACAGCAAGCTTTATGCTCTTTACACTATACTATCCCCCAAGCAGATTTATAGAACACTCAGAAACATTCTCAGCTTTCCGGGAAGCATACAGTGCAAGCAGCTGATTAAGCGCTCTTACACTAGCAAACTGACAAGATCTTTCACTGTCTATAGCTGGGTACCCATTCTCACCTGGGTGAAGGGAGGAAAATTTATTTAAAGCCCCATTCCCAAGGACACAACGTCGGGTCCCTAACGGGATTTGAACCTACGGCCTTACGGCTGTAAGTCTGAGCGCCTGTCCACAAGGCCACCGACGCCACAAACAACAACAACAACAACAACAACAACAACAACAACAAAGCAGTAAAAAAGCACCCCATCCGCCAACCAAACGTTTTCCACCTAGATCGACACAAAAAATGAGATCATTTTGGAGACAGGCCCCCTGTCAGGACAAACTCGGGTACAGAGGGATACAATGTCCCAAAAGTTTGCCTGTCTGGTTGTATCTCTCTCTCTCTCTCTCTCTCTCTCTCTCTCT